CACAACTTCATTGATTTATTCATAGAATATTACTTGAATAATACTTAGTTACTCATAGTTTGTAATAGTTGTAAAAATGTAGATATATAGAACAAACTATGCACGTATAAATTTATTATCTAGTTTATTATTATTTATTATATATATATTATTTCTAATAATTAGAGCTATTCTCTTTGTATAAATATTATAAATTGATTATATTTATATATATATGATGCTCATACTTATAAAAATAGAAGAAGTAACAGAAAGTTATGTCCGAATTATATGAATATACCCCATCTTCATTCTTCAATATATATAAAAATTAAAAAATATTTTAGTTACTAAATTAATATTTTTGGAATATGTATTTTTTGTATATTTATTTGTATCTATAGTTATTAGGTGTGCGGGTAATCGGGCGGGTAAAAAGTCAGGTCGGGTAAAAAAATCCACCGGGTAAACGGGTCGGGTAAACGGGTTTTTTGTTAAACCCGTACCCGACCCGACCCGGACCGCGGGTATAGAAATAAAACCCAAGCACGACCCGAAACCCGCCACTACCGGGTATACCCGACCTGATTTTTCGGGTTACCTGTGGGTTTTTCTGACAACCCTAGTCGTAGTCGACTACTTGAGCAAATGGGTCGAGGTAGAGCCGCTGGCAAAGATTACCGAAGAGAAAATGATACAGTTCCTATTCAACAACATCTGTTGTCGATTCGGAGTCTCGAATATATTAATCTCAGATAATGGAACTCAATTTTAAGGCAAACGAATCCAAGCATGGTGTCTCGACATGGGCATTAAACAACGATTTGCCTAAGTGGCGCATCCCCAAGCTAATGGCCAAGTTGAAGTGACGAACCGAACTATCCTCTAAGGACTGAAGAAAAGATTGGAAAAAGCATCAGGGGCTTAGGTCGACGAGCTAACAACAGTCCTTTGGGCCTATCGGATGACTCCGAGAAGTTCAACGGGTCAATCACCGTTCCACATGGTTTATGGAATGGACGCGCTCCTACCCATTGAAGTGGGTTTACTGTCTCGCAGGCAGTGTACTAGAAGTCTCTAGGCGCCCGACCAGCGCCTAGCGCCTAGGCGGGGCCTAGAAATTAATATTAAAAATATTATTTTTTGTTTATTTATTTTCACTTCCTAAAAATAAAAGTATGAAACTACTCCAATTTATAACAAATGTCCACACACTTAAGTACAAACAATAATATTAATATATTATAATAAAAATTGAAAACATGATAGCAATTAGCAATCCACATTAGCAACCAACATGACAATATTGTACTAACCACAATCTAAAAAGTAAAAACAAACTCTAAGTTTAAAACAAACTCAAAACAAACTCCAAGTCCAAATAAATACATAAACACTACTAAGTAGTAACTACTAATTAGTAAGTAGTAAGTACATATTACATAACCACAATCTCAAAAGAAACTCCAAGTTCGAAACATACGCCAAGTATCAAAGATTGAAAACAACCAACATGACCAAATGTCCAAAACACTATTAAGAAACAAGAAGCAATAGCCAATATCTAAGAAATATAGCCAAGCACAAGAGGATCTTCTTCTTCTTCTCCATAATTCTCCAATACACGCTCTTCGTCCGACTCAAAGTCAATGTCATTCTCATTAACTTGTTCCTCCTCCTCGGATTCAAAATCTTCTTCCTCAAGCTCTCTCACTCTTGATGTGTCATCCTCAACTTCAAGTCCATTGACATCCTCATCGCCCTCATCTTCTAATCCCGGAATAATCCACTCTTGAGCTTTACTTGCCTCATTAGCAAGTAACACATCCTTTTCTTTCCTCCATTTGCGCTTGTTCAATAAACGGGAATTGAATTGGACATAGACTAGATTGTTCAAGCGGGATACATCAAGTCGGTTTCTTTTTTTTTTGTATGTATCTAAGAAATAAATAAAACCACATTTTATAATATAAGTATGACAATAAAAGTAATAACAATGAAAAAAAATTAACAAAACAATTAAAAATAGTATATCCAACTAACCCCTTCGAATGTACTCCAATTTCTTTCACATCCGGATGAGCTTGTGGTTAATGACAAGATTCTTATGGCAAATCTTTGCAAATTAGGCGTTCCACATCCATAATTTGACCACCAAGTAGCTAACATGAAATTAATGTGAAAACATAATCATTGTGTAGCCATTTAAACTTACAAAAGTAAAAAACAAGCATAAAACTAATAAAAATTTAAAAACAAATATATTTTTTCAAGACATATCACATAAGAGGCAAGACAAATATATATATATATATATATATATATATATATATATTT